ATAACTGAGTGCACATGTTACAGTAACGTTGTTCCTCACTTCTTGTTGTCTAATGTAGAACCTCATAGAATTATCACAAATAATAAAAATTAGTGAAATCGTGTGTGTCAAAATCAGAAACTTCCCTCAGATCCTGTCATAAAATAAGCAATTAACTTAAATATGCACGGGACCAATTGAACAAAGCAGCCGGCCAACTCTCTCTAGTCCCGTCTGCTAAGCACTTAGTGGAGCCGGTTGTTCCAGTCACAACATAAGGATTGAAGCCTGTCTCGGGCTAAAGGTGAGCTTTGAATATTTCACCCGAAATTAGATTTATGTAAATGCAAGATATGTGCCATGCACTCTGCTGTGCTGTTTATTTTTCAAGTGAGTTGAGGGAAAATGAAAGATGGCGTGTTCTCAGGCAGGCAGCATGGGCCCTTGAAGGAGACCAGATGACTGATATGTTCAATCCCACTTTATTTGATTAACTTGTTTTCCTTGTTTCGTGAGAGAGACGTTCGAGATCTCCCCAAAGGAAAAAAAAAAGGAAAAGATGATACTGATTCTGTGATGCATCGAGATGGCCGCTGACATCTTGTAAAATTGCATGACCCATTGTTTGACACTGATTAGTTAAGATTGTTCTGGAGCATCCAAATCAGATGCCAACAAGTCGAGCTTTCTCAGTTCATCTGTTTGTCTAATTATAGGATTGAATACGTGTCTTTAATGTGGACTTTAAATAGAGATAATCGTGAAGTTCCTGATCGTGTCAACATTTTGATCCAAACCAGTGTTTAAATTATTTCTTTTGTGGAATTATAAAGTAGCTGTGTGATAATCCAAGTGCAATAAACTCAACATCAGGTATTAATGTTCAAACTATCCATATTTTGCAGACTTTGACACAAAAATGTCAAACATATCAATCATAAAAGAGGAAATGTCAAATGTAAAGACATTTTTATAAAATGGCTTTTAAATTGACATTTGGTGGTTTTCTTGTGTCTCTTGCATTAGCGTGTTTGGATTTGTAACTGCACTGCATGTATTTTGTGTTGTTATGTCTGTGAGGGTCTTTGTAAACCTGTTGCTGTATTCATAAAGTTTATTTTATCATGATTATTATTATTGTTACTTTGTGTGTGTTGAATCTTTAGGAACCTAAATAACATAAGATTGAATTCCCAGCGCAGGATGTGGTCTGACGTTCACATAACAGACAGAAAGGTGTGTGCTGTTTTATTGCAGGAGTTATTTTATCTAATTTATAATGTCATTTCATGTAGTTCTTACTACAAAAGTCAATTGGTTTTAATTAGTTAAATAAAAATAGGGTGAAACATCATGATTGAAAGCTGAGACTGACTCAGGATTGGTCAAGTGTACTAGCGAGATCTTGCTCCGTCTCCAAATATGTAAGATGGCGAGATTCATGCTGCCGTTATTTTGAAATCATTTCTGTATAGTGGGAGAAGGTGGAAACACGTCATCCATCTTTATATATGCAGTCTATGGTCTTTACCTATATCTTTGTCAAAATTATTCACAAGTAGTACAGACTTAATGGCGACAGGCAGAAATGTGCATAATTGTGAAGTTGAGAGCATTTAGACATTATAAACACTGTGAAGTCTGGCTGAAAGGATTCAGCTCTCTGGCCCTCTGAAGCAATTCTGTTCAGTGATGTGATTTTAATGACAATTCAGGAAGAGGCTATTAAGGTTACAGTCTCCTTCCTCATTGCCATTCGCTTTATGCTGTCCCCAGTGTGCTGGGGAA